ATATATATATATATATATATATATATATATATATATATATATATATATATATATAATTCATTTGTATATTATATAATTTTTTAGGAGAGCAAATTCAGGGAGACAGGTGTGTTGACACCAGAGGAGTTTGTAGCAGCTGGAGATCACTTAGTACATCATTGTCCTACATGGCAGTGGGCTACTGGTGATGAGGACAGGACAAAGTCTTACTTACCAAAGGACAAGCAATTTTTGTTAACTCGTAATGTCCCCTGCTCACGTCGATGTAAGCAGGTAGGTGCATTGGCTTTCAAAGCGGTTTGAATACTTTTTGTAATATAGTTTGAAATATAGCTGATGGTTCAATGAGAGAAATTGTTTTTAAATTATTTTCAGAAGTTATTCTCTCATTCGATTATTGGCAGTGTTCCAAACTATTGGAAAAGCAATGTTCAGAATGTTTTGTAACTTGATGTACAGCTGAATTAATATATATGGTTTTTTTTTCTTTTCCTTTGTTTATATGCTGAGATGTTTACATATGCATTTACCATCTTTGTAGATAGAGTATAGCAATGAACAAGAATGTATCATAGAAGCAGATGATACTGAAGGTGGTTGGGTAGATACTCATCACTATGACATTAGTCTTGCCGGCCTAGATGAGAGAGTGACAGAAATGACATTGGAGGAGACCCAGCCGTCTCAGACAGACAACGTGGACGACGACGAGGACGACGAAGATGCTGCTGACATGGAGGCTTTCGAAGTTAGCGGAATGTTGGATGAGCAGGATAAGGTAAAGAATAAATTGACAAGAAGTAAATTCGTTTAAATCAATGAATTATAAAAAATAATTTTCGTCGCAGCACGCTGCACCGGAGAACACAAAGAAAGCTGGTCAGGAGAAACGGGATTCGTTCTCGGAGGGTGAGATTATCCGCACCCGCACCTACGACTTATATATCACATATGATAAATATTACCAAACTCCTAGGCTGTGGTTGTTTGGATACAATGAGGTAAGACATGTGCTTTTTTATCTCTGAGTTCTTAATCTCCGAGTCTACAATAGTAAGCCTTTAGTCTTATGCTTTAAGACAGGACTCGGAACGGTTTGCCAATTTCGGCCGATTCTCGGGAGCTACGCCTTCTATCTCCCCCTTGCCGCGCGACGGGCCGCAAAAGTGACGGTCGCGGCCAGTCGCGGCTTTAAGCTTGGAGGCTCGACCGTCACTTTTGTGGCCTGTTCGCGGAAGGGAAAGATAGAAGGCGTAGCTCCCAAGAATCAGCCGAAGTTGGCAAACCGTTCCTGCCTTAAAGCCTGTGATTTCTGATAAAAAGTATTTTTTGCGCTACTTCATCAGTTAAAATCCGATCAACTCGCTTAAGGAATTTATTCGTTTAAACTAAAATACTTAAAATTATACAAAAATGTAACATTTATTACAGTAAAATTCGTGGTCAAAAAATTCTATATGATTTGTCTGCACTGTTCATGAAAAATTTAATACTGAATATCACAATTTTGCGTATTTAACTTTAGCAATATAGATGATCATTATCATTTCAGTATAAAATTTTGTAAAAAGTGATACCATCCAAATAAAAAATTTACTATTATAAATGTTACATATTAGGAAATACGACATAGAAGGAAAAATAATATTTATTATATCGTTTTTGTACAATTTGTTGTACATTTTGTTGTTTGTTGGCTAGAAAACTGTTTTTATGCCTTGAGTAGTATTATACTGAATGAAATGTGGCAAGGTAGTATCATGAGATTAGTTACAAATTAACATTCATTATTTAGCCGAAATTATACCATAGTTTTTGGACATAGGGTGAAAGATTTACTATTGTAGGCCCGGACTAAGCTATTAAATCAGTCGGTTCTTAAGTCCACTATATTATGTGCTTATACATTGTAGAATCGGAAGCCGCTCAGTGTAGAGGAGATGTACGAGGACGTTAGTCAGGATCATGCCAAGAAGACAGTCACGATGGAGATTCACCCGCATATACCCGGCCCTCCTATGGCTTCTGTACACCCCTGCAGGTAAATGAAGGAGAAAAAAAGAAAGTGGATGTCGCAGATCTAAACTTGTCTCACAAGTCTTAACTGTTTGAATGTTGTTCGTTATTTGCTCGCAGGCACGCGGAAGTGATGAAGAAGATCATCGAGACGGTAATGGAGGGCGGCGGAGAATTAGGAGTGCATATGTATCTAATAATATTCCTGAAGTTCGTGCAGTCCGTCATACCAACGATCGAGTACGACTACACGCAGAATTTCATGTTAAACGCGTCCGGTTAAATGTATATCACACACTAGTGCGTTGTGATTGATATAAATCGCTTACAAAATACATTTATAGCGGATGCGCGCGAGATATTTATGTATCGATGTTTTACTACGCTTCTTGTCGTCGAGCATTGAGGATATTCGAGATCGCAAGGATACGAAATCCAAGACTGTGCTATTACAACGTGTGTCTTGAGCTTAAGAAGTGTCCCAACGATATGTGATGGTCATTCCCACAATTGCGAGACTTCAAAGATATTAAGTAAATCGTACGGATCTCGGCGTTGAGCACTTCAAGATCCGTTTGTTATACTCATCTCGATTGAGTTCGACGTAGACGTGCACCGGCACCAGATGTTTTTACATTCGCGGAACACAGCTGAGCACATATTATTTGACGTGACAACCGTTAGACAATAATGAAAGAATGAAGGCTACATTAAAAGCAACGAAGAATCCATCAACAGAAAGAGAAAGAGAGACGAAGAACTATATGAAAGTGATTTCTTTTATATATTAATAATTACTCAAACACATTCACTTGCTCTAGTGTGTCATTTACTAAGAAAATAAATAAAATAAAAAAGAAAAGAAGATAAAGGAAAAAGATGGAAAAGCTTGAATATTTATCGGAATCGATAAAATATCGCTACGAAAATAAATTGGCTATTACGAACATTATCAGTGTGACCAGTTTATTTACGATATTGCGCGCAACTTGAAACAGCGACACTACGATAGACCACCAAACGATTCCTTCTGGCCAACCTCTTCCCACACTGATTTATTTCCTTGCGTGTTGGTGATACACATAATTATTTGCCGTTCCGCCGATAGTCCACGGCATTTTCATGAGTTTAACGGCGCATAAATTAACATGAGCGCGATTGTACGAGCAGTTGATAATTATAGACTTCCATGTGGCGCGTTATCGCAGCTATTATTTTGATAAAACAATTAGATACATCTTGACGAGAGAATTCATCTGCCAAAGCAATTTTTTATTCTTGAATTCTAATATATCCTTGAATTCTGATTATTGTTAGATTTCCTTTTTCTTCACAGCAGTAGATTTTGAAAGGAAGATTTAAAAAGAGCTCCAAAATAATGATTGTTAAGATTTATTAACCGCCGACGTTTGCAATACATTGCAAATTTGAGAATTATTAATACTGCAATTCTAAGCAAATATACGAGTAAATCGTAAAATCGTAGCTTACGAATCGATTGTAATGTTGATAAAATTCACAAACCGTAACTTTATTGACAACTTCTAATTAATCGTAAGATTTACGAGAAATCGTAAATCTAGATATTTATGAGTTATCGTATGACGTACATACGGTCCGCATAAAATTGCAGATCTACTCATAAGCTCTTACGAGTCTTACGAAAACAAGTTACGAATTTTGTGATTTTGTCTAGAATTGCAGTATAAATTATCGATGAACTATCGAAGTTCCTTAGCGCTTCTCAGACAGTATGAGCTCTAAAAACGATGCATAAGATGACTTTAAGATGTCTCTCTTTTAGTCATTTTTTATGATTTTTTTATGATCTTTAAGAGGTGTCATAATTAAAAGACATCTTAAGTCATCTTATGCGTCATTTTTAGAGCTCGTGCTGAGTTTTTTCGTATCCACTTTTCTTCGAACGACTTTACGACTAGCTGCGTTAAATTACGACTAAAGCATTAAATTCTCCGCGTTAAACTTTTTGCGCACAGGAAGGATGAACATATCTCTGTGTGCGTTTCACATGCGTGCAACACTTTTTTTGTATGCACATAGAAAAGTGGTGCGACTGGTCGATATTGGATAACGAGAAGTCGCATAAAATATAGTCCGCATATATTAGCGACACCTTACGTATATGTTCATGCGCGCGAACATGAAACTCAGATCACTCGAGAATCGTTTCTCACCTTCCAGGACCTTCCGGAGCTTCAAATCCACAATGATTCGTACTTCTCATCAATTTGTCCTCGCCGTTGTCATAACATATGCGACTGCAGTTGGTAAGCATTAATGTATCCCCGAAATATTTTCCGTTAAAAATAATATTTTCGAAAATAAAAGTTGCGCAATTATATAGTATTGTGTAATGAACATAAGCACGTAATATACGAAATATATAAATTATTGTTTTTACAGGTGGAGTAGACATTGTGGGAGATCTCAAGAATATCTCCCTACGCTTTTACTTCGGGTATCTTTGAACCTTTATCGTTTGATATTTGCTCGAAAAACAAGATAAAGAAAACTACATTAGACATTTTTTTTTAACGATATCAATGTTTATTACAACGCGAGATAAAATGGACTTTTTCTATAAATTTATCTTTAATGTGCATCAATTCAAATATTTATGTCTCTTAGGACTACAATGAATGAGTACACTGATTACTCACTGGACAACGTCAATGCTCTGCAAACCAAACTAATTAATGACAGACGAACGGTGCTGTACATTCATGGTTTCACGGAGAATTTGGAGAAAAAAAGTGTACACACGATAGTGCAAGGTACATCTCTTTCGATAACGAACAGTCATCTATTAAAAGTCAACTAAATTATGCTGTGCTTTTTTAGCTTATCTAAAGCGAAACGATCACAACATTATCGCGGTAAATTACGCTAAATTAGCGAACGAATCATACCCAACAGTAGTGAAGAATGTTGCTAATGTTGGAGCCGTTCTTGCATTAGCTCTTGATAGTATGGTACAGGCAGGCTTCAATTCAAATAAATTACATATTGTCGGACACTCCATGGGCAGCCAAGTCGCTGGCCATATCGGTAGAAAGGTCAGCTTTCAGGTCCCCAGAATCACAGGTAGATATTAACTTCCTGCCAACCAATTTAGTTTCGTGCTGCTCCATACAATATAATTGTGTTTGTAATATAGTTGACGAAAAAATAAAATTGCATAGAATATTTTTTTATACCAAATGTTTTTAAATTTCCATAGTTTTTTATTGACTTTGTCTCAACAGCGACCATTGATACATAAAACAGCGACCATACATACATAAAAAAAGACAAAATATTCCACTTAAAAAAACAGTTTGAGATAATTCGAATTACCGACGAAGTTATGCGCGAAACGTTACGCGAGATTATTTTTATTTCTTTTATAGAGCATCGTATGGATATTTCGATAGCCGTTATCGAGACGAATTTGATATGACGCAGGATCGTTTAAAATCTCAATCGGAATTTCTTGTTTTTCTTCAGAAGTTGCGTTGCAATTATTGAACATTTTGCATTATAAAAAGCAGTGTTTAAAGATCTTTGCACACAGGTCTGGATCCCGCCGGGCCTCTCTTCAATGTCTTCGAAGAACGTCTGTCGTTGTTTGACGCACATTTCGTGGATATTATACATACGGACTATGGATTTTACGGCATCAGCAGGAACACAGGCACGCTGGATTTCTTCCCGAATGGCGGTCGCCGTCTACAACCCGGCTGCCCGCAAAAGTTCACGTTCTTCAGCAAAGAAGGTACGCCCAATGTATCCTCGAAAGCTCGAAGCGGTTAAACGATACTTCATGTTGATCGTCCGTCTGCCGTTTCAGAGTTTTGCAGTCATCATCGTTCCTGGGAATTTTATGCCGAGTCCTTGATCAACGAATCCTCTTTTTTGGGCGTGCAGTGTCCTTCGTGGTCTGACTTCTTGTCCGGCGAATGTAACAATTACACCCGAGTCACCATGGGTTATGGCGCTTCGAACAATACGTAAGCAAAAGGGAGATCTTAAATATAAAAATAATAATTTAAAAACGAATTAAATGTCATTGTTACAGAATTAAGATGTTACGACGTTTTGAAACACACTTATTTTATTTTCCTTTTCCTTCATTTTGCAGAAATGGAAGCGTTTATTTGATAACGGCCGCGCACAGTCCTTTCGGGCTGCGAAAAAAAGGAACTCAAGTTATCTCCGTATAGTGCGACGACCGACGACTGCATCGCATTTGAAAAGAATACAACGTAAGATCTAACGACAGGCGAACCTTACCAGTATAAAAGAAATTATCAGTACATTGACCTCTCAATGTCTCATACATTCTGCCACGCTACATCATCGTATATTAATGAACCAACGGGACTAATGTTTTAGTTCATTTATCATAATAGGCGGATAATTGTCATTATATTACTCCGTACATCGAGTCGTACCTCATGCGACAGCATTATTCCCAGGAATTCGATTTTCTTAAAGACATCATCCTATTACCGATCGGATGCCGTTATCACAATTCTATATTTATTTATCTCTGCCGTATTCTTGTGATTCGAATATCAATTTGTCGGACGTGACGGATTGTCGACGGTTAATCAATAATCTAATATTTATCGAACTGGTAATCAAAAGGTAATCAAAAGGTAATCAAAAGGTAATAAATTAAAATGTATCTCAGCGTTCGAAATCTTCTTAGTTTGATAAAGGTTTGGTTGATAAAGGTGAAATTTTAAACGAGAATTATTACGAGAATACTAAAATTTGTTATACGAACGTTTTGTTTAAAATATTGTATATTGAGACAAAATCCTAAAGTTACATTTCAAATAAAATCATTTTGAATAAAGTATATTCTATTTTTCCCATAGAATTTAATAAGTCCTTCGTGAACCAGCGCCTCGAGCATAATAGCATGACAACAAATTTAATTCCAATACCGAGTAAAATGTTTATATCGAAATTCACGGAATTATAATTTACCACATTATGATGTAATTTGATCAAACTGGTCTCTACGAAGCTGGATAGACTCCTGCATATCGATTGCTATAATAGTAGCAGTAACATTAATTTTTAACTGTAATAAGGCGGAATTACTGTCATAAAGCAGCGTGACTATAATAGCGCATGATAGAACATCGTAGTATAATAATGTCGTCCACAATAATTCTGTAATAATTGGCAAAACTTATACAAGTATGAATTATCTGTCGTAGCGGAAGTCGAGGTAATTTTTCTTCATGTGCTGAAGCGTGCGGGAAAACGATGTAGTATGATACGGTGACAAGAAGCAGCTCCGAAGACAGTTGGAACTACTTCGGAAAACTGTGCTGTACGACATATTTTGCTTTACATTACCTGTGAGACATCCCAAAATCTCCATTCGAGTCCAGCTGTCGAGCTTCAAGAATAATGCACATTCTTCCTTTGTCATTCGCGTTGTTGACGTACACCGGCTATTGGCGACCTATCGACTGGCCTTCGACTTCTATCAAGTATCATGCATACAACGTCTACTCCGTCGTCATGATCTTTCTGCTTCATTCGTTTGCGTTCTGTGGTCTGGTCGATTGTTTCATGCTCGAGGACCTCGAGACTTTCATTGAGAAGTTCTCGTTGTTTCTGTCGGTACTCGGCGTTTGCTGCAAGGTGATGAACTTGGTGATTCGTCGGAACGGAATCGTCGGTCTGACCGAGATGTTGCTGAATGATGTCTGCTTGCCCAGAGACAATCATGAGGCAGACATCCAACGACGGTTCAATCGTATCGCGAAGTACGTATCGTCCAATATCCTTACGCCAACTCTGTTAAATATATACCGTCATCAGTTCATAGAACCAAAAAACTCCTCAGAACGATCACCATCTACTGCGAGATACTGAATGAGTCGGCAGTCTTCTTCGCCACGGTCGCTCAGTTGCGGCATTTCGCAAAGACTCGTACCTTACCGCTGTCCGACTGGGTGCCCTATGATACCACATCCACGGCTGTCTACTGGGCCACCGTGCTGCACCAGACCATCGGTTTGATGGTCTGCGCGAATGCCAGCGTTGCACATGAGACCCTCATCTCCGGTTTCATGATACAGACTTGTGCTCAACTGGATATACTCTGCCATCGCGCTCGTATGTTGCCGGTCTTGTTGAGAAGAGAGGCCCAGAAACGACATGGCAGCGTCTCGAAAGAGGAGCTGAAGGAGCACGAACGGCGAATAGTTCGCGAGTTCGTCCATCATCATCGCTACGTATACAGGTGAAGATGAAAGAGGAGATGACGAGTGGTTATTCGTGCATAAAACATACACTGAGAAAAGAATATTTGAAAATTTATTTGTGGGATATAACGTGTGAATAAACTTTCATTCTTCTTTCTCTATAAAGAAATTTTCAAGCATTTTTTCTCAGTGCGTTGAATGAATAATCGCACTTTGCGTAGACTTGCGGAGCGCATCAACGCGGTGTTCGCATTGATGATTTTCGTGCAGTTTACCGTGAGTTCGACGGTGCTCTGTTTGAGTATCTACAAGATGTCGAAGAAGAGCCTGTTGAGCTTCGAGTTCGCATGGAGCTTATCTTATCTGGGTTGCATGCTCATGCAGATCTACTTGTACTGCTGGTTCGGCAACGAAGTGACGCTTAAGGTTGGTTGTAATATCAGTAATTCCAAGTTCAAGTTTATTCCTCGCATTGTACTCCTCGCGCTCTTACTTCAAGTTCAGAATTCACTAAGCTCGTCTTGAAAGCTTTGACCTTTATTCTTCATTCATACGCTTTTATTTCTACGCGCGCAGAGCGCTGAAGTCGGTACTGCTATTTACGAAATGGACTGGACGATGTTTTCCACCGACTTGATGAAAACTCTTTTACTGATTGCTACACGATCCAAGAAGTCCATTAGAATAACCAGCGGTCACATGATCGCCTTATCCAACGATTCGTTCATGAAGGTTAATAAAGATGACTTTATAATAATGTTAGAAAACGAATGAGAACATACTTGAAATAATTTGAAAACACATTTTACTTTCGTTTGTCGATTGATAAGATTAATTTAATGTTCATTTTTTCAGATCATCAAGGTATCTTATTCGGCATACAACGTTCTTAAAGATTCTTAATATAAGTGGCGTGTTCTTTTCGACCTTGCGTCACAAGAAAAACTCCAAAGAATTATTTTCATAATCGGAAATTGCATTTGATGTTTATATCATATAAATATTTTTTCTTAAACTCTTAAATATTTTTACTTCATATAATTTTTTACACTTCGCCTTTTCCGCTGATAATCCTGATTCCTTTGACTAATACGCTACGAAATGTATCCAGAAACGAATTAAGAAATTTCGTCCTTAATGAGATGGCAGCAACAACTCGCGGGAATTGGGAATAATTCGTGAACAATTTCGCCTTTATGGGAGATGGCGGTCAATTGACGATAAATAAACTTCTGCTTACATTTCGTTTTATATCCTGAGAAATCTCCGATTATTTGGCAAGCAGTATCCTCCATTCTAAAAACAGAATATGCATTACGTTATTTCGCAACGTTATATCTTGCTCTCATCATCATTCACGATCATATATATTCGTGTGTCTTCTTCTCTAATTTATCGTACATAAATATTAAAAGATTATCAATTCCTTATTTTTAAACATTTCTTAATGCAGTACTCACCCGCAATATTCGATTCTTATAGATTGGGTGAAATTCGATTTTTCTGATTGTACGATAAACAGCCAATCATTTTCGATGTTTTTGGCTGATCTCGGATTTATCAACTCTACCTGAAATTAGATCACTTTTATCAATATTCGCACAGTCGAACGCTGTAACATGGACAGTAAAACACGAGTTCAAAACATTTTTACATACCTTAGATTCACAAAGTAAATCTTCACCCACGTCTATCCGGTGTGAGATAGTTTCCACCTGTTAATAAGGGGAGAAATGATTAAAAAATGATAAATTAAAAAGAGTACACAAGAAAAGATATGATTTTACTAACGGCGTCTATGGTCGCGTAATTCATCAAGGAGGGGTTGTCGCTGAGCATTTTGTTTATGAAGTCGTTCGGATAATACGGGTCGTTTAGGCAGAAATTTTTATTTTTACAAGTTGGCACTAAATTGGTTTGGTATACTGTATTGCCGTCGTCGTTACGCGCTAGCAGAATTTCGTCCGGGAATAATATATTATCTTCAGCTGCTTTACTCTTGCGATTCTTGTCCTCAACTGTACACACAAGAGCATTATGTATTAAGTATTAAGTATTAATGTATTTTAAGTATTAAAATCTTTTTTATCATTTTGTAGATTGACGGAGAGATAAATTTTAATAACTTTCATCTCGATCGTTGAGGTATTGTTTTGAAATCTTCATACGCTACCTCGATAATACGACATAACTTTTCCGTTTTCCACATTATCAGTATCATCATATGATTCCGAGAGAAGTGTTTCATGGTCTTTCGAATGTTTGCTATTCATTGAATTACGACTTAACCATCTGAATGAATAGTAGTCGCGATTACGTTGTGCTTCTAAAATGACCTGGAAGAGAGGGAAAATAAAACTTGGTTCTCTCTCTATATTCATCCTCCTTCTCATTGCTTATTTATCTTTCTAAAACGCAATTGAGAATATCCACACAGCAGAAATGTTCCGAATATATCACGAGGATATTATAAACATATCTCAATATCTGTAGGATAACTTTATGATACATTCGGGACATTTCTGCTGTCTGAGTATATTCGCGCTCTCTTAATTGATATCTTACTACAATACTTTCACATACTTCACTTTCACTTCCAAAGTACAGTAAAATTACTACAGTAAAATTAAAGTACGTTTCGATATTCACTGCCAGTATATTGTGAATATATAATTTATGTCACGTATCCTATAGATTTGAAGTATTGACAATGAATATCGGAAAGTACTTTAGCGTTATCGTATCTGAGACACGATATTGCAAAAACTTTCTAATATCTTGATCAGTGACTTTTCACGGAATTGCGTTTCTTCTAATTTTGCGAAACAGTGTAATTGATTACAAATGATATAAGTATTTCAAACGATTTTTGTATAGTCAGATTATACGAGGGTGGTCTGAAAAGTTTCCGACCTAACAAAGATACAAGTCATTTTTTCTGAAAATTGTTTTTTATTTTTCAACATAGTCTCCTTGTAAATCTACACACTTCTCCCAGCGATGCTCCCATCTCTGTAACCCGTCGAAATAGTACTCGGCGTTTTTCTCTGCAAAATAATTGTTCACGAAGGTGATTGCCTCTTCATTTGACGAAAATCTCTGTCCTCCGAGCGCAATTTTTAGATGAGGGAACAAAAAGAAGTCGCTTGGGGCTAGATCTGGTGAGTAAGGTGGATGGTCAAGCAGTTCAAACCGTAATTCGTGGATTTTCGCCATGGCAACCGCTGAGGTGTGAGACGGTGCGTTGTCTTGGTGAAACAGGATTTTCTTTTTCTGCAAATGTGGCCGTTTTCCCGCAAGTTCTGCCTTCAGCTTGTCAAGTAATGATGCGTAGTATGCTCCTGTAATGGTTTTTCCTTTTTGAAGATAATCGATTAAAATAACTCCATGACTATCCCAAAAAACAGTCGCCATCACTTTCCCAGCCGAAAAAACAGTTTTTGCTTTTTTTGGAGCCGGTTCCCCCTTTGCAGTCCACTGTTTGGACTGTATTTTTGTTTCAGGCGTATAATGGTGTATCCAAGTTTCATCTACAGTAATTAATCGGCGCCAAAACTCGGATTTATTGCGCCTAAACTGCTCCAACAGAGCGTTGGAAATGTTCATTCGAACACGTTTTTGGTCTAACGTGAGCAAACGCGGCACCCAACGCGCGGACAGCTTTCTCATGCCTAAATGTTGATTTAATATGCGACAAACACGTTCTTTTGACATGTTCATAACCTCTGCTATCTCTCTCACTTTAATTCGGCGGTCGTCTAGCACCATTTGGTGAACTTTGGCGATGTTTTCGTCGGTAGTTGCAGTTTTTGGACGTCCTGAACGTTCATCGTCTCCCAAGCTCTTACGGCCACGTTTAAATTCAGCGGCCCAAAATTTCACTGTCGTAAATGATGGTGCAGAGTCCCCATACACAGAATCCAACTCATCTTTGATTTGCGTAGGCGTATTGCCTTTCAAAAACAAATATTTAATGACAGCTCGATACTCGATTTTGTCCATTTTCACAAAAACACTCACATCAACTTACTCAAACGACTGTTACATAACAACTGCGAGTCCAAAATGGCTGAAACTTCGGTGAGTAACTGTCAACAGATGAACAACGAAATTCACTAGCTTTTATTTACAAGTGCTGCTATCTTCACGTTGAGGTCGGAAACTTTTCAGACCACCCTCGTACATGTCGAAGTGAATTGACTTTGCGACGCTTAGGACCGATTTTTCAATGATAGTTTAAACTTGTTAGATTTCAACTTAAACTCTATTTAAATAAAACAAACGCATTGTTATAATAGAGTTTAAACTTAAATCCAAGTTTAAACTGCTATTGAAAAATCGCTTTATCTGCTTGTGCGTTAATTCATGTTTCGCATCAATCGAATGTTGCATCACGTTTTAACACAATAATTTATTATTTACTATGTCGATCGCATTGTTAAAATTTCCGATGACGTTTTAGATCCACGTGTGAAACGGTTTAAAACGTCACATTACACTTCATTGATTCTCCTTATATTAATATAAATGCATATTGTAAGAAAGATGGCGGAAAGAGTAATTTCCAACGAGAACCAAGTGTAAGACGACACATTAATTGTCAAGATATAACAATATGAAATTAAACATTTTGATATTTTTCCTAGATGTTATTGCTGATTATTTTATTGCATATATTATATTTTCACATCAAAAACGTTTTATTGTGGCTGAAACTCTTTCACTTTACTAAATTGAGAAGTTTACTAAATACTAAAAATTAAGACTTTTTAACTCTTTTGTTGCAGAAGTCGTGTATATGTTACTGGAAAAGTGAGAAATCCGCATTGTATAGAATATCTAAGCATTATATATAAAAATTGATAGATATTCTGTACAATACCTAGATATTTTATATAATACCAGAGTTTTACAATGCC